TTGCCACACAGCCCAGCAGCCAGAACAGCTACAGCTGGAGGCAGGACAGGGCTCTTTTCCCAGCTGGGACACTTGCCTCTCTGGCCAAAGCCAGGAAGTTGCCATTGAGCTGCACATTGGACATGATCTCGGTCAGGTCCTCATACTCCTCCACATCCTCGTTCAGCTCCAGGAAGACCCCATGGCGACCCAGCATAAAGGCCATCTGCTTCTGGACAACTCTGTGGAGAGGGGAGAGGTTTCACAAATGCCCAGAGCACAGCCAGCCCCAGGTCAACCACACGTCCACCAAATCGCACTGATATGTAGCCCAGTCTGCTCTGCTCCAAATGCACACAGGAGCAGCCCAGAGATGACCTGCTCTTGTCCATCTTGATTTCAAGGACAAGAGACTCAGTTCAAACACTGACACTTCTGGTGTCTTCTGGCAAGCTCTACCCCAGCTCTGCCTAGACAGGGAGTCATGCCCCACCATGATGGATGAAGGCTCCAGAGCATGAGGAGCAAGTCTCCACTTACACATCTTTGCAGGAAGTGAAGATGTCCTCCACCAGCTCCATGTCATTGAGCATCAGAGCCAGGCGCAGGGCTTCAGGGTAGCGGCTGAACTTGCGGAAGATGCCCAGGGCACAGCGCAGGAGAGCCGAGTTCTCAGGCTCCGGGACGTAGCTTACACAGCTTTGAGGAGGAGACAGACATGAAGGTGACGACTGCATCAGGCAGCCTTGGCCCACCAGGGACCAGGTCCCTTCCAGCACCTCAGCCTGCTTATGTTCCTCACCTGGTCAGGTAGAGGCACACTTTGGAGTAGGCATTGTCATCAATGTACTCCTCCAGCATGTCCATCTGCTCGATCTCCATGAGCAGGTCACAGGCCTCGTGCTCTGCATTGTGGGCCATGTTGTAGGGGACAATTTCCTTGACCAGGGTGAGGAGTGTTTCCCTCTGAGCCTTGTCAGCCTCATCGATCTCCTGCCACTCCTTAGCTACCTCCCCCGCCAGGTGCCTGCAGAGACAAAGAGATGTCACCACCACAGAAACCATTCACCCAGCCCCAAGGAGGGAGAGCAGCTGCTGCCAGTAGCCAGGGCCATGTATGGTTTATAGGGGGTCCCACATTCCCCTAAGAGCCTGTGGGGGACAAGCCCAGTGGAACAGTGTTAAAAGCAGACACGACAGAGTCCACAGCAGCAAGATCTCTGCAAATCACTGTAAAGAGAGGATGAGGTGGCACATGTGTGCAGATGTGACAGGGGCAGCTAAACAAAAGCCCAGCGAGTTGGGACACCTCCTAGACAGGCCAGAGTCAAAGAGAAACCCTCAGCTCTTCCCCAAACCCTGCTCCCACCCAGGCTTACCGGACATATTCATGCCCCCAAGATGCCAGCTCCTCCTGGGAACCCAACAGACGGTACTTCAGACACTCACGCTCCCCACTCATGGTCATGGCCAAGACAGAAAAAATGTCTGCTGCAAAGCGCTGGAACCCAACAGACGGTACTTCAGACACTCACGCTCCCCACTCATGGTCATGGCCAAGACAGAAATGATGTCTGCTGCAAAGCGCTGGGGAAAGAGGGCCAGGGGCTCAGACACGTCAGACACAGGGAAGCAGGGACACAACACCCTCCCTGCACCCACCAGTTGTCACAGGTGGCAAAGGCACAGTCCTGGCAAGCTGTAATCCACTGGAGCAAGTCACAGAGGTGAATGTTACGGGGTCTGGAGTGCTCTGTGATCACCTGCCCCAGCACCATCCCCCCAGCCATGTGCAGAGGTGGGGCCAAGAGCCTTTACCTTGTTCTCTCCTGGAGCCATGTTCTCATAGATCTCCTTCAGCTTGCCATAATGTGGCCGTAGGAACTTGAGGGGTTTGGGAACAGAGGTCATGGAGGTGGTGGAAGCGCGTATCTGCCTCCGCAGCTCCTCCAGGGCAGGGCGGTAGAGGGAGGTGTCCTTCTCCTGCAGAGGGAAGCTGTCTGTCAGGGAGCAAGGGGCTGGTTCCTGTGCCAACACCCCACTAGCCCTCCCCAAACACAGCCCTGGCTCTGAGCAGAGAGGAGGAGGTCCCCTGGGTACAGGGACATGAAGGGGTCTCATTCATGATGGAAATCCCCCAGCTCCACTGCACGAGCAGCAACCACAAGAGAGGGACAGACTCTAGTCCTGGCCAGGGCTTCCAGCTCCACGGCAACTGGCGGAGGGGCACAGCACAGACTTACCCCCAGGCGCTCCACCAGCATCTCCAGCTCATCCTGCAGCTGCTTGTCCTCCTCTGACTGCCGAAAGGCACAGGAGGAAACAGAGTTAGGGGTGCCCAGCACAGACACCCGCAGTGTGATGGGGGCGAGGGGGCTCCCCAAGCCACAGGGGGCCCAGAACACAGATGCCCCCCAACCCAGTGCCCATCCTGCCCCAGTGCTGCTGAGGAGTTCCATACTCTTGCCACCAGGGTCACCCCCTAAAGAGACCACCCCATTCGCAGGGGGTGATCAACACCCCCATGGCAAGGGGCAGGGCCCCCCAGGGAGCATCCCCTGGTGACAGCAGCTCCTCTACCAGAGGCCCCCACAGCTTCTGGGGACCCCCAGCGCCAACCCCACCCCCACGCAGAGTAAAAAGGGGACCCTGCACTGCCACACACGTACCCCGATGTCCTCACGGCTCCCCGCTCCAGCCACATCACCCCTGGGCG